AGATCCAATTAGAAGATTAAGGAACAGCGCTATCTGCAGCATTAACTGAAATGCCTTAGAATCAGTAAAGATAATTTTAGCCTAGCTTATACCGTCCATTATACATTAAATGTGCATGCATAAAGCTTACAAAAAAAAGTTTGTGGCTTTGAGGTCCGGATTATAGATCATTCTGGATAATGGACGTCCAGATTATGGACTTTGTACTGTACTACAGAACTTATTGAGCATAGGTATCAAATCCAGTTTTAAAATGATTTATACTTTTACTGGTGAAATGGATTACAGACTAGATTATCAGACTCTGCTGGCCATATTCATCATATGAATTAATAGCTGATAAAGTAAATTTTAGATAAAAAAATGGGTATGCGGAGATAGAGAAAGATTAAATGTACTGTTGCGGTTTTGATATGACAGTACTGAGTCATTACCACAAAGATTTTGATTTATATATTTACCCTGTTACAAAAGGAATTATATGCATTAACATTATGCTATATATACACTGGTGTGCAAAAATTAAGGACGAAGTCGAAAAATTAGCATTTCAGCTGAAGGAAGAGGCAGAGCGAACAGAAAGACCAATCAGGAGATTAAGTAAGGTGATGTACGGTAGCACATGCGCAGATATGCAGGTAGCCGCAATGGGGGAGTGTCTGAGTAGTATAAAGCATGTTGTCGGTGTAAGATCAGTATTTCTGGCAAAGAGATTGCACGCCGTATAGCAGATCTAAATCCCACCGAGTTGCTGCTCAGCGAGAAATGGCGAATAATCAATCTGTTAGACGACATCTGGATGCTTTACCCGAGGTCAAATCATGGGAAGTTGGAGGAAGGCCGCAGTGTGACAAGTGTGGCTGCAGAGTTCGGAATTGCTCAGCATCATTCACGACTTTGGAGACAATTTCAAAACTACAGGAACAGCTATCTGGGGGTTTAGTAGGGTCGTCCACGAGGAACCACACCCGCAGATGACCGTATTGCCTTACAGCCAGAAGAAACAAGCGGCAGACAGCGAGAGAAATCGCTAGACAACGAAACAGGCGACTGGACAACCAATTCGCGTTTTACGTGGCCAGATGGACTGCGGTGGTGGTGGTCTGTTTGCACGACGCCCTGTATGGTGTGTACCTCTAACGCCTGCCATCGGAGAAGGCGTCTCTGTGGTGCCGGGAACACAGAATTGGAGAGAAATGAAGGGGACGAGTACTCTTTACAGATGAGAGCAGATTCCGTCTGAGTCGCGATTCTATCGCAACTTCATCTGGAGAGAGCGGGGAAGTCGCAATCTCCCTCGACAGCATGAAAGGGACGGTATGGAGGTGGTGTGTCTCATGGGGAGGCCTCTACTTGGTAGTCGTACAGACCTTCACATCTTCGACGCAGGTTCAGTCAACGGGCCCGTTATTGCAACGAGATTCTTCTTCCATGTGCGTCTTTTTAGAGGCGTATGGGTCCGCGTTCCTTTTCATGAGCATGCACCATGTCATCACACAGTAGCTGCCGAACAGCTCTTAGAGATGTGGATATTAACGTATGTGGCCGGCACGATCTCCGGATCTCAATCCCAGAGCATGTGGGATTTCTAGGCAGACGCTTGGCAGTCGTCTTACCACCAGTAACGATTCCAGAGCTTGTTCTCGGTGCAAGACGATGGGCAGCAATGCCTGAACAACTCATTGACACCCTCAATCTCAGCACGGGCAGACGCTGTGAAACCTGTCTAGCAGTCAGGGGAGACATATCCCCTATTTAAAGACCGGATGTTTCTTGCTGGACACCTCACAGGGATGTTTAGGCCTTCGTCAATTGCACTCCATGCTACTTTTCAATAAGCTCTTTTATCCCTCTGATTTCTCTTTAGTAAGTGTGCTTACATTACTCATGTCCTTACGTATTGGGGATCTTCGGTATAAAGTGTGATTGGAAAGCTTTTGTACAAAGTTATATTGAAAAAACCGTCTCGTCCTTAATTTGACACCAGTGTATTATGTTAGATATGTAATTTGATTTATTTTTATTCTTTAATAATTTTGAATGAAACTATATTATTATTCAAACAAGGATTTTCTCAGTTTTCTTTACACACATCTATCTGTTGTGTTTCATTTTCAAAAACTAATTATTTACTCATGTAATTCCTGCCATAAATAGTAATTTTTTTTTTTTCTTGTAAAAGTATATAAATCTTAATGTAGCTTCTTTGGAAATTTATCCATATAAGTATGAGCATAAGTAGCAAATCCAGTTTTAAAATAATTTACACTTTTACTGGTGGAGTGAATTACAAACTAGATTATCAGACTTTGTAGGCCATATTCGGCATATGAATTAATAGCTAACAAAATATATTTTAGATAAAAAAAATGGGGCTGTGGAGATTAAGAAGGATTAAATGTACAGCTGGAGCAAATCCTTGAGCAGATTACTCTAGTAATTCCAGATGCCGTCTCGGAGACGATGAGCAGCCCGTGTGACTGGCAGGTAGCAAATCGTTGTCAACAACCGGTGTCGCAAAAAGCGATGTGTCCTTCTCTCCAAGGTGAGAGGGCAGGGGTTGAACCCCTGTGCCTGATTCTGAGGGGTGAGAGGACTCTTTAATGCCATTAAGTTGGCGGAAAGAGGAATTGTTGTTGTTGTACTGCTACGGATTTGATATGATAGTACAGAGTCATTATCACAAACATTTTGATTTATATATTTATCCTGTTACAAAAGGAATTATTTAAAAATATTCCCATATAAAGGTTAGTAAATTTAAATTCTTGTAAGCTTGTACAGTACAAAGTACGTAATTTGGACCTTCCATTATCTGGAATGATCCATAATCCAGACCTCAAAGCCACAAACTTTACGCAGGCGTGTAGAGAATGGGCATACTTTACGCATGCGCACATTGAAAGAAATGTTTAATGAAGTAAACAAATAAGTAAATGTGTCTTAATTAAACAAATAAATATTAAACTTTTATTTTGTAAAATTTGATACCCTTTAGATCATAATTGCTTTCATAAATTATGGTTTCATATTTTTAATAGTATAATTCCTGCATGCCATCTTACCAGATTTAAATTGATGATCTATAATCCGGAAAAACCCCTAATCCGGAATCGTCAAAGTCGTGACGAGTCCGGATTATAGACTTTGTACTGTACTAGGAAATTTCAGGCTTTGAATGTAATTTAACAAAATATGCTAAAAAACTCTTAAAATCTTTCACTTGCACACTTAGACAATTCTTGACATCAAGGGATTTAGTATTCTTAAAATCAACTAACATTATGCTTTCTCTGTGAATATCAAAAATGAGGATATTTTAAGAAGCAAATTTTAATTTGCATTTCTATTGGTGCTCATAGCTCAAAAATGGTTTGAAGTTTATGGCTTAATAGGTACCTTAAAGTGCTACCGTACATTTTTGGCACCATATTTATGCATTTCTACTTTAAATTTCTCCCATACTCTTGGCTCAGAGCTATACAAAGTGAAATGATTAGGAACAGCAACGAAGAAACATTTTCTAATTTTACAACAAAATCCTCCAAAAACTCACTGTGTAAGAAAAATACGGCCTACTTTATTATTTCATTTTATTTTTTAAATTAATTTCACGGTGAAGAGAGATACAGAGAACCTCTCCAAGATTGCATACAGGTGAATCCAAATTCCGTTCTTACAGAGCATGCATGCATCATTTGTGGCTCTAAAAATGGACCAATTTGCTTGCCAAGTAAGAATTCTGAACTTTCCATTTGCTTCTTCATAATAAAATTGAAATGTCTTCAAAACATACAACCATCCATTCTACGGAGAGGAAGATAGTTCACAACATAACTAAAAATTTTTAAGAGGAAGCAGATGCTATAAAACTTCTTCTAATTCTATACGCAAAAAAGATTGTGGCTGTGGCCACTGGTGTTTTGCTATCTACAATTTAGCATATCAAAAAGAAAATGTTGGCTTATCTAGTCATTTACCACCTCAGAATAACACCGAAAATACCCTAATTAATAAAATGCTATATAGTATAATTTCAGTCATTTTGTTACATGGAATATTATAAATGAAAAATTTTAATGCTTTCAAACCTATACTTCCTGAGGTGAAGGAAAGAATTTATTTTTCCTGGGGGAAAAAAAAAAAAAAAAAAATTCTCAATAAAATTTTCTATAAAGGTTTTTGACATTCATGCTGCTGAAATTTTTACAAGATTTTAATTAAAAATCCAAACACTGTGACATGTGCAGAAAGCATGCATAGTGAGTTCTTGATATTATTTTAATGCTGTAGCCATCAATAACCAAAAAACAGAGTTAGAGAGAACACATTCTGAAAAGGGTGCCATAAAATTGTCTTCAAGCCTCAACTGCTAAAATTCCTAGCCCTGCAACTGATGAGAAAGTATCCTGAAACCCCCAGCACACATACAATTTGCTTCAGATGCACATCCTAGGCTATGAAAAAGTAGTGTGTCATAGTAGTGTGTGTAATGTCTAAATGTTACCAAAACCAAATTCATAACCCCCAACTCAAGATTAATTGAATAATTCTTTACTTTAAAGAGACTTATTTCATAATAAGACAATAATTCGGTCCTTGTCTCTTACATTATATTAGCTAGCGAAGTGCTAAAATATGGATTAAAAGTAGATGAAAGATATCTGTTACTAAACATATACTTTTCCATAATATAATAATCAAAGTATGTTCATTTCCTTAGTTACACGAGCCTCTTTTCCAAATTGTTTGAGTGAGTAAACTGAAAATTGTACATTAATTAATTCTGTGTTTAATTCCTTTTAACTGAAATTATTTCTTCGACTTATGCGACCTAAACTGTGAATTTAAAATATATCATTGAATACATCAAAGTTTCTTCATTTAAAACTTTCATAAAAATAAACGATTATGAAACGCAGAAAGAAAAAATCTTAATTAAATTAATAAATAAAAAAAGAAAGTCATGACAGTTAATTGTGGTTTATTTAAATACCTACCTTGAACACATGCACAAATCTACAAAATCAAGTCTAGAAAATATATCTAAAAGTATCATGTCTGGAATGCATTCAATATTCATAGGGAACTGATTATTTGACTGTGTTTCATTATAACTGATCGAATTACAGTCAGCCATACAAACTGAATAAGATGACCAACACTATCAGCGGTATTTCTCTGAATCGAAGTGGAGAAATACACAAAAAAATCCTAAGCACTACGATCTTTAAGCCCGCTGACGAGGTATCACGTAAATGATTTCAAAAGAAGGAAGGGATAGGAAGGGAAGAGATCTCTTTAGAGCTCATTAAAAGTAGGTTTAGGAATAAACTATAGTTTGACACGATTGTCAAACTTTGCGTAACCTAAATTTATATTTTGACAGCATACTGTCCATAAAAAAATATTTTTCCAACGGGTATATTTTAGTTCCTGAATTTTTGAAAAGAACAAACTGTATAATATAGCAAATTTTGAAAACACCGGCGACTTTTGTTCATTTCAGAAAAGTTCTGCCCAGTATGTTACAGAAATGGGATATTTTTAGGAGGGGGAATTTGGGATGAAAAACAAAGCCAAATTAGCTATAAGTTGTCAAAGAGAAATGAACGCATTTTTAAATGCGTTTCTCTATATATTTCCCCCTTCTTCCCAGCTGCTATTCGTTGCAGGATATTTATTTCCATTGGCATAATAAAGTTTCCCATCAACGTTGCTTTCCCTAGGAAGGATTACTTTATTCCAAGACTTGCAACAAACTCCCAAATATTTCAGAATCACCTGAATATTGTAGATACCAATACTAATTGAATAATCCAACTCCATACTTATCCTCATATTCATGAAATACCAGTATGCAGTAACAAATTATGAACAATAATTAATGATTGCACGTTAAAAGAATATTTGTAGCTTTAATTTAAAACGGAGCAAAGCTGTCGTTTTTATCAAAAGGATGAGACTGTCAAAAAATGTCAGAAAACAATACTATCCTCTTCAAAATGGCATATATGCTCGTCTTAGGAAAAGTAAGAATTCGTCTTTAAACGAAACGAAAATCTATTGTGAAGAGAAATACAGCTTTCAACAAATTCTTCTTGAACTTCATTTCAAACGAAAGGTAATTATTATGAGACCTTTCTTCTTCCGTATTACAGAAAACAAAGTGTTCTTTTATTACATTTCTCTTGAACTCTTATGAGAAAATGAAGAAGGTCAAGAAGATGTTAGCTGTTTGAAGCTAGTGAGGTGACAAGGTTTACAATGGTTGCTGATCTTTCGGTGAGTACTGGCAACCCGTACTAGAGTTGGTGTTGGTTCTGGCAGAGTGAGCACGTACGTTTCGGCGAGCCAGTTCTTAAATAATGAAAATTTTCTTTCTTTGTTAGTTTGCTGTTTTGTTTAAAATGGCTGTATTGGTATGAAGATGATTGAGTTAATTTAAATGAAGTGTGAGAAATTAAGTGACGCTTGTCAATATCGTTATCTGTGTGTATGAAAGTACTATCACATCTGCAGGCTATTCCCAACAGAGCGTTTAGAAACATTTCTGGAAATCTTTGCTTTCAGAGAATTGGTTGACTTACCCGAAAAGCAATTCTTTGGTGAAGACCGACGTCAAACAGAGCATGCACAGCGAACCATTTTTCGATAGCGTAGCAAAATGTCCCGGACAACTACCCGGAACTAAGCTTTGCGACTGTTTTTCACGGGAAACTCTCTCACTTAATTCATTATTGGGAGAAACTCGTTTGGCAAAGTTTTTTCTAGCGCTGCCCGGCGCTAGATATGATAACTCCATTAAGCAATGAAAGGAAAACAATAATGTGGCTGCGAATTTTGTGTGTTTATTGGGGGGGAGAGATTAGATATTTCGGGATTATAATGGTAATGGACTGACCGGAAGAAATTCATCGTTAAAAGCCTATACATTCAATGATGGAGTTAATTTTAAAGTCTGCATTAGTCGTAATATTGAGACAAATCGGGAGGGAGGAAATATACCTTTGAGGGCTTTGTTTTGTAACATTAAAGATTTCTGTGTGTTTGCTACAACATTCCCGAACAAGGCATACATAAAATATTTCTGTGCGGAAGATCATTTTGTAAAGGATGAGCTTATATGAAAGTGAAAAATTGTTATGACAATCTGGTAGTGGTCTCAGTATCGCAGCGATGGATTTAAATTTTTTACCCTGCAACTTGGAAATGCTTTCAAAATGTTAGTTTGCTATCAGGCGTGACACCAATGTATTTAACCTCTGTGACCCACTCGATATCTTCATTAAAATGAAAGAGGGAAAACACTTGTGTCCTTTATGAAAATGATGGCATTTGATTGATGAGTATTAATAGAAATTATCTACACTTTAAACCAATGTTCAAAGGCTCTATCATCTGCAGAAAGATCAAGGATTAATATTGGGTCTCTAACAATGCCGTGGATATAATTGTTGTAAAGTATGGAAGAAAGAACCGACCCCAGGAACTCATACAGTAATGGGGCGTTACCGACTTTTCTTAAGATTCCGCATGATTTTTGTGCACGTAGGTAGAGCGTAAAAGGAAAAGAAGAAAAAAGGCTACAACACAAAAAGTTTCCCTTGGCCCTGCTTAATTAATTCAACACCGTTTCCAGAAGACAGAATGTAAAAGATATGTTACTGCCAAACCTCTCTCTTGAAAAAGTCAGCAGCAGAATAAATGACCCTGGAATGACCATTACAGCAGGAAGTATCCTCCTTTAATGGCAACAACTGGAATACTAATCGTTAGCACTTTATAGACTATCACTACATCTTTGTCTTTATCGTAACTTGTTATTTACACAAATGCAACAATTTTACTGCCAAGGTATACCCCAATTGTTTGTAATCAATCATTCATTTTCAATAATGTACTCACGTATTTGAATTAATGTTGTCTTAAAGGTCCTCTAGCTCATGGTGGACGTGGTATTATACTAATTAACCGTATGGTAGAGGCATAGTGCCCACGTCCCCCGTTCCTTATCCTTATCCTTATTTGATTCTTCCTTATCGAATATATACAGTGGTGGAAAGAAAGAAAGAAAAATAATCAAAGGAGAAGAACATTGGCCAATGGTTATAATTCATATAAAGGTAGGAATGAATGAATTTCACTCCTACTTTTATATTGCAAGTGAACTGTAAATGTTCTCACAAGTATTGTAATATTTCATAAAAACAACCTTCTGTTAAAAAAGAAGCAGAAACAAAATTTGCAATGTAAAGACTTCAAATTACTTTCACACTCCCATTTAAATAGGAATGGGGAAGGCAAGGTGAATCAAAGGAAGGCATCAGCAGTTCTCACTTTTATATGCCTGAAAGAGTCTAACTCGTATTTGCAATACCAGTAAGAAATGTAAAGAAATCTCTCGCATAAAATTTCCGTGTATGAAGATTCACTCGCTTAAAATGTTTTTCAGTTATTCTGTAAGTTTGACTAATAAAGTTTGTTGTTCGATCAAAAATGGCAAAGTTTCATTGAATTTCTTACTCGTATTATTTTGGTAGCGTAGCAACGCAAATACGCTACAATGGGAAATCTACAAATAGACAGGGAAAGGGAGACCAAATGCTCAATTTCGAGGACAATTTTCACACATCCAAAATCAAAATAGTGATTATGTCAGAAATATAACCATATAAAACTTCAGATACATCTTTATACATGTTCAGTTATGTAAATATTTTACTTACTTGCCCAGAATATTGTAAGTTTATGCAAACAATTTTTAAGAATAGAACAGTTTGTAATTAAGACGCAATAACATGCCGCTGTGAAAATTTGAAAACGCTGATTTTTGTTGTTTGACTTCTGAATTAGAACAGTTTGTCTTGATCAAATGCAAAAATTATATTCATAACAGTTCACAAAACTTAACAAATGAATAATAATTAATACACAAAGAAAAGCATTGTTTTAACACCTTTATAATTCATAGAAATAGTGACAATTGATTTTTTACTTTTCATAAAAATTCTAAAACAAATTACCTAAAACATTACAATTATATAATTTAAATCCTAGCATATATCATTGCATGTTAAGGAACGAAGATACCACTTATAACCAGAAACATTAAAATGTATTTAACATATTTTGATTATTATTAAGTCCTTTTTTTCACATTTGGAAATAAAATAACATGCCATTGTGATATTTTTCAACATATTTATCAAATTAAATAAATAAAAAAAGAATCAATAATTACGCGAGAAAAACTATCCCAGGAATCATTTTAGAAAATCGGTTAGTACATTCATATTGTTGCGTGCGTACGGGTTCGTTATGAAATGAATGCACAAGTCCGATGAAAAATGAACAAAAATTTATTATTATCACAACAAAAATGCTTAAATTTTCTCAAATTATCATGCAGTATTACAATATCTCACAGTAGTTATCTTTTAACTACTCAAATGTCCAATAGAACGTAATTCAAAACAGCTAAAGAACGCTAATCTGCGAATTCGCTACAATCAACAAGAGCAGTTTTCTAAACAACAACAAATTAAGCAACTACTACGAACTGAGATGTTTTCCTCCTTTTATAAGATTTTAAAAATCACGCGCTAGAATTTTCTAGCACTTTCTCGAAATCAAAAAGAGATATTTATTTATTTAACGCACGCGCTCTTGTATTTTTAATTTTTCCGGCTTAGCTTTCTTTTAATATTCGTCACGCGCTGCATTGCGCGAGAAATAAAACCATCTAATTTATAATTGAACTAATATTAGCTTTTTAAATACCAAATTCGTAACAATATGTAACACAAGAAATCATGTTTCAAAAAAAAAAGTTGTAATGGCAGATTTCCTTGCACAAGTCATAGCAGTAATTGTAGCATAGCCGCCACGATTCACGGTTTGAGTTGAACCTTCCCTCCTATTCTATCCTCCTTGCGGTTTCTTGTCACATCTATTCTGTCTCAAGGAATTGACTTGTCTAGTTAAATCGTCTAGACAAGCAATCATTCGATCTACTGGCTGCTGAACTTAGCAGCTCTATCTGGGTGGCGATCTCTACGAGGTGCTTGCTGAGCTGCCTCGAACCTCATGGCGTACACTAGAACGCTTTTAAAATCCTTGGCATCCGCCATTCGCAGTTCTGCATTTCAGGATCACGGACGCCATCGAAGAAGCACTGCAGAGACAG